CCATCCACACCCTCTGCCCATAGGTCCAGGAGCACCATTTAAACACAGGCCTGGGAAGTCAGTCCTTCCTTGTAACCTCGTATGTGCCTGACAGCTGCTGGTGGGACCTTCTGCAGTTGCCTGTCCCTGGTTCTGCAGAGCTGTGCCCTGATGGTGAGCTTGTTACCTGGGTCACCTTCCTTTTGAAAACAGCTTTGCTCTAGTTGTTCCCTGATATACTGCTCTGGCTGAGAGACTACTTTATGTCTAACTTCAGGTGCCTGTTAGTGGGGGAACCAAATAAAGTGATATGAAATCTGCTGCCAAGTCTCAATGGAGAGCTCTTTCCAGTTCTGTCTGGACCCCAAACCACCCTGTAGGTGTACTTTTGGTCAGCTGTTCTGTCTATGCAAAGAGCAATCTAGACTTGAAGCTGTGTGGTTTTCCTGTAGGAAAGAAAATTATCCTTGTTGCACCCAGCTGCCTGGGAAATTTAATTGCAAAAGAGTCTGGTGTGGATGTGCCTTAGAAGTGCAATTGCTCTGTGTCAGTGTCGGCTTTTACAAGTATCAGTGACATGGGTGAAGTCACTGGGTGCACGTAGGTAGGAATGTTCCATATAAGTTGTAACTCAACTGCATGTCAGGCTCACTCCTATAGAAATATTGCCTTTGCACCTGCTGAACTAATCATTACCAGTGACTCTTTACCACTTCGCCATCCTTTATGGACATTTCCCCTTAAGTGCTGGAAGGGTGTGCTGTTATTAGAGCTGATGTGGCTCAAATTGCATTTGGTCTTCTCAGACGAGCACGGGGCCAGGGAGGCAGCTGACCTGAGCCAAAGCTGTGTGCTTTGCCTTCAGCCAGCTATGAGCAGTGTGTGGGCAGAGCACGGCACAGAACTGTGCCTCATTGAGATTCTGAAGATGTACTAATCACATCACCTACCCCGCCTTGCCTTCCTGCATCAAAGACTTGTCTTCTCAATCCTGATTTCTTAATAAAGATCATGTATTTTATTTATATATTTATTTTACTAATGGAGCTTCATGTTAAATTTAAAGTCCATTAGAATCACTGCTTACAGAGTGCCCTTGAAAGTATGTTGGATTGCAGACTCATCCAAGCGTGGTATAGAAAGCTCTCAAGCATTAATGGATTTGGGAACACAAAGGTGGCTTCACTGGCTTTTTTAGTCCTTCGGTGGCATCTGAAATATCTCCTAGGGAAAATGCATAATGTAAAAAGCCTAAAGTGTTGAAAGGGTGCATTTGGAAGGGACAGGAGGAGAAGTCTAAGCTCTGTGATTAAATCCTCTTGTGTGATCAATGTGAAAATGACAAAAATGTTTGAAACTCCAAGTGAGAAATCCACCTCCCCTGCACGAAAGACAAGTAATTGGGCTTTATGCAGGGAGCTAAGCCAGGTGGGGTTGAATGCACCTGCTCTGTTTGTGTGTGTGGGTTAATGAAGGACCCTCCCCAGCATAAATTCCAGACCATGGGCATGGAAATAGCCACTGCTGCCCTTGGCACACCTGCTGGGGCTCTCAGGAGGCTGTGACAACAGCAGGTGTGTTTTAATGACCCCATCTATAGCTCTGGGTGGTTTAAGGTACAATTGCAAGTACACCACGCACTGCTGACAGGTCATTTGGTACAAGAGTCTTCCTCAGATGACCTAAGCACCTCTGTCCTCTTTCTGCACCCTGCCTTAGCTTCCTAAAGCTTATCCCTGTTTCATGTAGAGGTTCCTGTAGGAGTATGAGTCAGTTGTTCTGCTGCTTTACCCAGAGAATATGAGATAAAGACAATCTTAGTGGTCTTAACTGTAATTCCCTATGTCTCCACTTTCCCTCCTAATGGTTTCCTAAATCTAAATGAAGAAGCCTCTGGGACAGGGTGATCTGCAGTCTGCAGTGATGGATCAGAAAGTGGCCTGAGTTGTCTGACACAGAAAACTTTTTTTTTCTGCCAATTTAAATTCAACATTGTACATGATGAATGGCCTGGTAAAAGTGATATTCCTCCAGTTGGTTGTCGATGTGAATTGATTTAAATTTGAGATTTTTTTTTTTCTGATTTGTGTATTAATTTCTTTGGAAAGAGTCTTGAGACATCAGACTCCATAGAGGAAAAACTATACTGTTTCAGAGGAGCATTTCTCAGCTAGTGCATTTGGGAACACAGCAAAACAGAGCTCATAGAACCTAATATCCTCAGATTCCTTGTGAACAATATTTTAATGTTAGAATTGCTTTAGGAGAGGAGGTTGAAGTTCTTGATTTCTTGTTTTTCAGAATGCTCTTTTTCTAAGCTTGAAAATTAAACTTTATTCTGCTCTGATTTTTCCTTTTTTTTTCTTTTTTTTTTCTGAGAACTTAGCTTTGCCCTTGTAAATTGAATATAAGATTTGATTTAGCTGAAATAGCTGTGCAGGGTTTACATAAAAGGAAGATATTTTGTATATTCAGGGCTGTCTCTGATAATGACAGGATTAAAGGAGGTTAAATATAAGTTGCTTAAACTATCCAATGAAGGTTTTATAAGTGCTTGAGAATATGGTAGCTCTGAAATTTTTTAAAAGATGCTTTAATAGGCCCTGGAAAATTACTTTCCTAATAGCTATATATGAAAAATGTTTGCTGGTGGCTGCCCTGGACTGGCAGCTGAATGTCTTCATTTACAGGTAACAGTTGGGATTTTTTTTTTTGCAAAAAGGCACTGACTGCTGTATCAGTTTTGTACCTGATTATTTGTGTTCTTTCTGAAGTTACCTTGCCCTATAGTTACTCTATTTAGAAAATTACAATAAAAATACATGAAGAAATAAGCAGCTATTATCCCCCTAGAAGAGTTCTGGGCTATTTTGTTCACCTTCCCCTCCCAGCTGAAATATTGAGGCAATCAGCAGAGCTATTGTTTTTTGACACGCTGCATGCATTCCCTAACTGGTGCCATTCATTCCTTTGATTGAACAAGAAGCTCTTTCATTTTTCAAATGAAGACTTTTCTTGTGGGTGAGTGCATATGCTTCAGTGGGGTACAGTAACACCTGGGCTAATTTTAAAAAACCCAGCTTGATAACCAGCAGCAATCTGGTTTTGGCACCACAAAGCTGTCTTTTGAAGGGGTCAAATTAGCCTGTGGGGAGCTTTAATACTATTAGTTCCCAGTTAAAACTGCCTTGAGAATCTCTCTCTGCGTTACACTGCACTCTGTGGACTGTACATGCCCTGGTAGCAAATTGTCTTGCGTTCTGTAATCTTTGATTATACCAATGGATGCTGTAGAATCAGAAAGCCTATAAGATAAGCAATCAATTAAATACTTTTCAGTTAAACATTTTTATTAGCTCTCAAAAGTTTCCTTGATAAATTTAGGGGAATAGTGTCCTAAGAGTGGCACCTCTCTTATAAGTCATTAAGGAGTAGTGGAAAATACTACATAGAAGAGGATAATGCTTTTTTCATAGAGAACAATACAATAAGTAAACATCTGAAGTCTGAAAATTATTTTTGTTTCTAAATAGCCCCAAGGAACAGCTCAGTGAGACTCCATCATGAGAAAGGCTAAGTGGAGTGATGTTTCCCTTTTTGGCATGGAAATGATTAGCAAAATTCCATGACCACAATTAATCCCTACCTCAGGTCTCTTAGGTGAATCAAGCCTCAGAGCAGGAGCCCATCAGAGCGAATACTGCTTAGTTGAGGGTGTTAAGCTAATACCAAATGCATATGGATGCCAGCCTAGTTCAAGTAAACACTAAGGGGTACCAAACTGCTAGGACCTTGCTGGTAGGTATTGAGGCAAGTAAAGATTTTATGTGCATGGAAAAGGAGCTCAAAACCCAACTCAGTTAAGGTTTCCAAATTCAAATATTGAACAAAATCAAATATTGCTAACTTCAGCCAGAGGAAAACTTCCTGCTGATGATAAAGAATACTGAATTTGGTTTTACTTTTGCTGCTCCGATTGAGGGTTAACTGATTTTATCTTTACCTGACTCTAAAATACAGATCAGAAATACAGTGTTTGGAGCATTATGGTCCCCATTTATATGTAGTTCCCTCTTGCAAACACCTTTGGAGAATGCAAAAAGGTTATAAAAAATAACACAGTTTTAAGATGTAGAGGGAAAACCATATGCAAGTAAAACTTGGAGCACCACTAGGGGCTGTTTTCTCTGACAGACCAGCTTAACAGCATTCTAGGGACAATATATTTTAAAAGCAGCTGCACCAGCCTTGCACAGGTTGCACTTGCAGTCGTTTCCTTTTGCATATGCAAGGGCATAATTACATGCCACACAATGCACTTTGGATTTCCACAACTGAGCAGTCCTACATGTGTATCTGGGATGCCAGCCTTCATGTGGAAATTGCTTGCATATTGCAGTCATTTTATATTTAAAAGTGGTCACATACACACACATGCACAAAAGAACCCCTTCAGCATGCCATCAGTGCTCATTACGGGTATTGTGTCCATTGGCACAGATGGAAAACCTGTGTGGGTACGTCAGCATATTAATTCTGGAGAACCAAAGGCTGTGAATTCAAAATCTGGATTTGATCACTTGAAGGGATTTGGGAAGGCAGCGTTTACACTGATTTTTAGTGTTTCCAGCACGCATTGATATCTCAGGTATATCTGCAGCCTGTTGCAGTATGGCCCAGCCAAAGAAAACTGGGATCTGTTTTAATCCTGCACACTGCCTTCAAGCACCCTAATTAACCCTTCCACAGTAATACTGTTGCATATAACTTGGTTGACATTCCTGTGTATAGGATGGGTTTGTTTCTGGAAATTGATTTGCCTTAAGAAATAAGTGTTACATTTTTCTTTTATTGAGGAAAACTAACCAACAAACAGAAATGATTGTTGGTTAACATGTGTGAGGGTCAAATCCACTGAAGGTATTTGAAAAATAGTTTTTGATCCATTACAATTTGTCCAGCAAACAGAACAAGTAATTATGACAATTTCTACTATATGGGGAAAAAACAAAACAAAATACCTTTGTGTTTTGAAGACATGCTGCTTGTCCTTATTTGGATACAAGACTTCAGAAAGGATCTTGCTTCGGTGTCTGTAGATAATATGCAGTAGCTTCTGCTTTGAGTTTACTTCCTCACAAACTTCTGGAGCTGCAAAAGGAAAAGAGAGGGAGATAAGAACACGTAAACAGAAAATGCAGCCAGCAATGTATTTTTCAGAAGAACGTGGGACTACATTTGACCTACATATATTTTGCAGGAGGAATTGGGTGCCTTGGTTATGACAGAGGACAGACACGGAAATGTCTTGATGCGGTGGAGATTTATAACCCTGATGGAGACTTTTGGAGAGATGGACCTCCTATGCCTTCTCCTCTTCTCTCCTTACGAACAAACTCTACCAGTGCAGGTTGTGTGGAAGGGAAGCTGTACCTTTGTGGAGGATTTCATGGAGCAGGTACTAAAATGAGTCCGATATTCCTTGTGTAGTTAAAATCACTTTCACAGGATACAGACTGATCTGATGACTGATCAACCCTATCAGGTGGCACTGGCATGCCCTGGAATCACAAACATGATTCTGCCCTTTGGACTGCCAACCCCTAATGTCAATATGAATTGTGTTCTGTTTAACCTTTGCTTTTTTCCTTAACAAAGCACGAACATTTAAGGATGTTTCCAATATGCACCAAACCTCTCCAAATCTAAAACCTCAGTAGAATTATTCTGGATTTATATCCAGAGCTACAGATCAGGAGCTTAGTGTTTCATGGACATTAAAGAACTTGGGCATATTTGTTGAATGTTAAGGCCCTGTCCATCTGTCCTTTGCCATTCTATCTCTGACTATTTACTTACATGTTTTTTGTTACCGGTGTTGAAAAAGACTGTATTTAACGAGTACTCTGTGTAGGGAATTGAGATACAAGCAGACTAAAGTTCCAGATCTGGTGATTTTAAATAATCCTAGCCTCCTGGACAACTTTCTTCTTTTTTCTTCTTCCTTCCAGCTGTGCTCAGCTCTTTCTAAATCTCCAGTGCTTATAACCGTTACTTTTTTTTCATTATGAATGCAAAGAGTCGCAAAACAAACACACTTAAACTCGTCTGCTACATAGAGCTGCTACCCTAATATCTTTCTAGGAGAAAGGAATAGCACAGATGCATTATCCACTACTAATAAATGTCATGTCAGGCTCACTGTTGCCCAGGAATGGTCATGTGGTATCACTGGGTGACATGTCTTCCTAGTGCACTGATTCCAGTTGCATTGACTTGTATAACAACCTCTAAACATAAAGCCACTGTTATTTTAGAATTATGATTTTCATCAGCTAGTTCACATCTTGCTTTCTAACCCCTTTATTGGCTTCTGTTTGAGGAAGCTGCTTCCTGAAAACAATTGTTTGGCAGCCTGTAACAGGCTTGTTCTCCTGTCATCTCTGATAGAAGTTGTGTGACTTCAGAGCAGTTATGGCTATGACACATCACTGTGTTTCCATAGTGCCACCATAGTTGCCTTTTTCTCAGCAATATTATGAAAAAGCCTAAAGTTAGTGGGTACAAATCTCAAAAGGCTGATAAAGGGAAGTGGTTGAGTCATCATCCCTGGAGGGATATAAAAGATGTGTGGATGTGGATCTTAGGCACATGGTTTAGTGGTGGGCTTGGCAGCACCAGGTTAGTGGTTGGACTGGATGGTCTTAAAGATCTTTTCCACCCTAAACAATTCTATGACTCTATGATCATTACCATTGAGAAATTAAACAATTTTGTTCAAGATGACTAAGAGATTAATATGAGATTTTTCTGACTAGGGAAGCTTCAGAGCCATAAAAACATTTTCTGTACAATACCACCATGTTCTGTCACTGAGTCATGTATAAACAGTGGTTGTTCTGGGAGAGTTTGAAAGTCCTCCTGTGGATTTCAGGAAGGCTATCTTTTGTATGTTTGAATAATGCCAGCTCAATGGGGTCCGATTCCTCACTCTACTATTACAATCTATATAATTATGTATAGAACTCTCCTGCACTAATACTGTTATTTAGATTGAAAAACAGGAAGTCAAAGTTAGAAAATGGCAGTTTTGCAGTTACCCGTGCAACCTGAATTCTGACCCCCTATATGTGTGTTCTGTAAACCTGTAAAGAAGTAGCATATGATTGTGTTGTTAGATGTTATGATGCCTATTAACAGGGGAGCCAAAATAAGATTCTCACTGTCAACTGTAAATCAGGTATAACCACATATTTGAGGAGTTGAGAGAAACCTGCGCCTTAAAGATGGGCTTCTTAATGTGACTAGTTATTAAAGGAAAAGGGCTTTCTAAATTTTGACACCAGTAGCAGGTTCTAGCTACCATCACGAAGAAAAAGATGAGTGCAGGCCATATGTTGAACCTGAAGAGGTTACCTAGCTGGCCTCTCTTCCTGACCCCATCTACTTTGTGTGGTAAGAAAGGGCTCTTGCCTGATGTGTTCTTTAGGGATGAAGGGTGGAGTGAGAGGTGGTTGTTACTGTCATATGGGAGCTTGGAAAGGGTGGCTTGATTCTGCATTTTCACAATTACAGCTGCTCAGCAGCTTCAAGGTACAGAACAGCATGTGCTGCTACTGCTTCAGTAGCAGACAGGGTTATTTTAGAATGTGCTTGTTTGGTTTTAGTCTTTTGGGCTTCTTGGCATGTCACTTTGGTTTTTATGAGGAATGCAACCAAGAGAGGATATTCCAGTTTTACAAAACATTGTAATTTAGCTTCAACCAAGTGGAGTTCTTGGAACAAGCTGAAAGCACAGCTGTAGTCTTTGGGTTTTCTGCCTGCTGAACGCTAAAGGGCTGCTGGGAACATTCAAGAAAAAGTGCTTCAGAGGAAAAAAAAAACCAAACAAGCAAAAGCAAACAAGAGCAAATAAGCCAAAATTATTGCTGCAGTGAAAAGTCTTAGCCCAAGGGGCTGAAACCAACCCCTTGTATACTATAGATCTGTTCCAAATTCTTCAGCCTCAATTTGCCTCTGCATTTGCTTAAACCCACTCTTGATCCAGCAATGTGAAATTTAGCCTGCAAAAGACATTGTTGCGTCTTAATTTTACTGGTATGTATCATGATCTATATGCCTTTCTGCATGGCTATAGACTTAAATCAAAGAATCAACTAGGTTGGAAAAGACCTTTGAGATCAAGTCCAACCTTTCACCTAACATCATCTTGTCTACTAGACCACAGCACTGAGTGCCACATCCAGTCTCTTCTCAAATACCTCCAGGGACGGTGACCCTACCGCATCCCTGGGCAGCCCATTCCAACGCCCAGTCACTCCCTCTGTAAAGAACATCTTCCTAATGTCTAACCTAAACCTCCCCTGGCACAGCTTAAGACTGTGCCCTTTCACTCTCCCTAATGCTCCTCAGCCTTTCCACTTTTTCTGTAGGCTCTGCCACTGAACAGAGCAGATTGTTCACCTGATCACACCTTACGAGGGTGTCTTTTGCACTGTCCTCTGGTGCTAATGCCAGGCTCAGACACTCCCTGCAGCCGGTGACCTGGACTGCTGTGTCCTTACTGGGGGCTCTGCCTGGGTCAGCACACTCCTGCTGGCAGCAGCTGCAGCAATGGCTTTTGATCATTTGTAAACCATCGCTGGATCTAATCGAGTCGGGGGGGGGGGGGACAACAAAACCCAAAAAACCAAACGAGCCAAACAAAAAAGCACGAAAACCCCACGCACACCTATCACAAAACCCACCAGCAAGAGCTGGCAGAATGGCCGTGCCCTTCCTGCTTGCCGTGCCTGCGCGAACTGACGGGCAAACTGCCGTGCCAACTGCCCTGCAAACTGCCGTTCTATCCCCCTGCCTGCCCGCTCCTGTTCCCAGCGCTCCCTTGAGCTATTTAAATTACCCTCAACTGGGCCTGGCAACACCCCTTGCTCGCCTGATTGGCTCCCAAGAGCAGCCAAGTCCACAAAGCTGAAAGGCAGCTGTCAACTGCTCAAAGGGCCTTAAATTTGGATGATAAGGTCAATACTGCTGAGCTACCATCTTTTCTGAGTCTCATGTGACAACTGAATTCTTGTGATGGCAGGATTCCCATTCTGTATATACTGCCTCTCACAAATCTTTGTCTGCTTGAAGGGAGGACAAGTGGTGCAGCCTGAACAGTCCTCCTGTGAGCAGAGGAAAAGAAAACCTGCAGCTACTCAAGAGGAAAGTCAGCTTGGCCAGCTGAAAGTAGCAATAGCAGTCTTTCTAAAAGATAAGTGAGCTCCAAAGTACGCTCAAGCTTCCTCTGAACTGTTGTTCAATGTTGAGGCGTGTTGGTAAAGCTTGTAAGGCTTCCTCAAGTTAGAAGTTTGCTCAAAGCCTGCCCATGAAAGAGGAAAGGGGTTTGATTCAGCTGAAGCTTAGACACTTCTCTGCAGTGCCTACACTAAGACCTTAGTGACCCCAGGCTTCCTGTAGCAGATGGAGAAGAACAGACACTTCAGAGAGAGATTCAGGTCCTTGGTGCTTTACATCTGCTCTGAAAGACCAGAAGGCAATTCAGAACCCTGAGGAGCTCTCCTGTCTCTTAAAGCTTTGTGTTTTGATCAGAGTATGAGGGGTTCTAACCTGGCTTACCTAAGCCAAACACGTCAGGATGTTGGTGTCTATGGTTTGATGGTATAAACACCCCTGAGACCCCTGTGTTGTATCACTAGCTGATGAATGTTGTATGCTCTTACAGTCACTATAACTACCCAAAAAGAGCAATTCTTGTTCTGAATTTTTCTCCTTAGCAAGACTTGCAAAACTTCATCTGTTAGCCAGTGGTTTATACAAATTAGCTCATTTTCTACTAAAACTGCTATGTCAAACAGGAACCATTAATCTGCTTGTCTCAGCTCCAGCTCATGTAGCATTGTGTCGTGAATGTTGTCATTTTTCAGCAATGTTGTAGCATTCATCAGGATAATCAGACATGTTTTAAATGACTGATTTTGTCGATTAGTTTCTAGTGTTGTAGAGAGTGGAAACATTATCCCTAATATGAGTACTCAGCAGGGTTCAGTGTGCAAACGGCCAGCAGCTTTCCACTAACTGCTAAAATACACTGCCACATTTCCTGCTCTAACTATGGATTTTAAACCAGCCTTTGCAGTCTGA